AGAGGGTGAAAAAGTAGTTGTTACTGTAATGGCAGTTGATAATGCTGCCCCAGTTGGTGCAGCAAGGACCGGTACTGCTCTGGGTGCCACATGGCTGCCTTGTATACAGAGCTCTGTTGCTACACTCCATGTAACTCACTTGGAAGCTTTTTCCTAGTGCCAAAATATAGTATCTGATGTACTTACAGTTGTGATAGCCCTCCACAAAAGAGATTTGCAGTGGAGGATGTTCATAGGATTATTAAAAGCTGATCTTCTCCTGACTTGGGAGTCCTGAGGGATGAGGCTGGCAGTGAGGACACTTCCCACAATTCTGAGAATTCCCTTCCCCTTTCCCCACCTTTGAGAGTCTGGCTTCTCTCTCTCTCTGTCTCTCTAATTTTGGGGGGTTTTTTGCTGCTCTTTCTACCTGCGTTCTACCTTGGGTGTAGCTGTAGGCATCAAGCAGAAAAAAGAAGCTAATAAGTAGATGATTAGCAAGGGCACCTATCGGGGGGCTTAAGTGTCTCTGTACTAATGCTAGGAGCACGGGGAACAAACAGGAGGAACTCACACTCCTGCTTGCCAACAAAGACTTCAACCTGGTTGGACTAACTGAAACCTGGTGGGACCCTACCCATGATTGGGCAGTAGGCATTGAGGGCTACAGGCTGTACAGATGAAATAAGGTGGGGAAAAGGGGGAGGGAGGGGCATTGATCTCTACGTTAAGGAGCAATACACATCTTTCATAATCAAGATGGGATCACAAGAAGGGCAATTTGAGGTACTGTGGGTTAGAATACAAGGGGGTTGGGGTGAAAGGGACTTGGTAGTGGGGGTCTATTATAGACCTCCATACCAGGAGAATGAGCTAGACCTGGAATTCTCAAGGCAGCATATTCAAGGGACATGATTGTCATGGGTGACCTAAACTACCCTGACATCTACTGGGATGAGCAATCAGGTATATCTGATCATTCACATAGGTTCTTAACCTGCATATAGGACCATCGCCTAACTCAGGAAGTATACAGTCCTACTAGGGGAAATGCCTTACTGGACTTAGTGTTAGCTACAGGGGATGATCTGGTGGGAGATCTGCAGATACAGAGTAACCTAGGGGATTACTGATACCACCAATTGTTGGAATTCACTATCCAACAAAAGGTGGGAAAGATGACCAATAGGGCAGAAGTGCTAAACTTCAGAAAGGTGAACTTCAATGAGCTCAGGAGATTAGTAAGAGAGGACAGGAGAACTGGTGAGATGGGAGTCCACGAAGGGTGCTTGTTCCTCAAGGGAACGATCGCATTGCACACAAAGGGGGCAAAGGGGCCAAAAATGGTTACAGCCAAAAATCTTGGGCACACCCCTCAGCCTCCTTTGCATTTCTCTCAAGCCTTTCTCAGATGTTCTAAGATTATGGTATTGGAAGATTTCTTATAGTTGGTTAGCACTGTCCTTTTCTTCTAAACCAGTGGTAGTAGGGTTTCAAGAGTGCTCTTCAGATCAGTCTGTATTTTCTTGCATTTTTTGCCGATCATATAGCAGCATTGTATATGTTAGGTTTTAAACTTTCCCAAGGCTTGGTGGCTGATTTGTTAGGTAAACTTGCTTTCACACCTTCTTCATTGGACAGTCTATATGTATCTATGTCAGATAATGTCTAATCTCAGATAATGCCTAATGTCTGTCTGAGAGTAACTGGTAGTTTTGCTACAACGGATCTTTTTGATATTGATTCTGACTTTGCAGCAAACTAAGTCATAGGTCAGTGTCACAGTCAGCACTGCGATAAGACCACATATGCAGAATTTCTTTCAGGTGGTTAGGTCCATTCAGTACTAGATCTGATTAGTGCCAGTTCCCTGATCTTGGATGTTTCCACAATGTCTTTCTTGTGATTTTTCTGGCAAAGTAGATGCTGGTAACACATAGGTTTTGACTTGAACTTCTTGTTTAAACTGAAACCCATCAACAGTTGTCTCACCCACTCTTAAATTCCCCGCCTGATCACAACCACTGCTCTTTCAGCACTGCCACAGTGCTCCTTTTTCCCCACTACCCACTTCTTCCATGGCTTCTAGTCCATGCCATTCACTTCTCTTCTGGTCCACCTCCCTCTCCTCCATGTTCTCATTTAACACCACCCCACATTATTTGACACCTTTGACTCCTTTGCCCCTCTTTCCCCTGCTTGACCCATCCCAGAGATCTGGTTCACCCCCTCACATCCATGACATGAATATTTCAGTCTTCCTCCTTAATGATGAAAATTAAATGAATGGAAGTACTCTTGGGGACTAGCAAAAAGGACTGACCATTGCAGACATCCACCAGTAAAATGAAACAAACAGACTGTCCACCTAAACTGTGTGCTTGAGGCTTGGACTGCCAGCAAGGACTGAGTCAGTGAGCAGAGTTACTAGGCCAGGTGCATAACTGGTACCATAGATAATCAAACACTTATCCAAAACAACCTGTAAACAGTTAAGAGCATCTAGAAGTACATCCAAGCTAAATCAGAGCAACATTTATACTAAAGAAAGAGGATATACCTCCAGGTAGAAGCCAGCTCTCAAAATCCCTCCCTCTTGAACTAAACACTGGACATCTTTTAGAAGCAATGTAAGATCTTTCTATTTGGACAGACATTTAGCAAAAAAGCTAAGCAGAGATACTATTTAGTCCATCTCTGTTTTATGCTGATTTTCTAGTTCCCATTTTAAGATCTTTTGTTCTCTTGTTGCTCTTTTTTCTCTTACCACTGTCCTCTTTTATAAGTTATTCTGTTCCTTTACTGTAAGCCACTCTGAGCCTTTTCTGGGAAGGGCAACACATAAATAATTTTATATATTTATTTATTTATAAATATAGGACGGAAAACAACTCAATTCTGCTTCTCAGCAACAGGAGTCCACCTGACCTGACATACTACCTAATTGCTCCCAGAAATCTCATAGATTTCATAGATTCCATAGATCATTGAGTCCAACCCCCTACCCTGGGCAGGAAAGAGCACTGGGGTCAGATAATCCCATCCAGGTGCTTCTCCAGTCTCCTTTTATAGACCCCCAAGGTAGGGGAGAGCACCACCTTCCATAGAAGCCCATTCCAGATTCTGGTAACCCTTACCGTGAAGAAGTCCTTCCTGATGTCCAATCTAAATCTGTTCTCTGTCAGTTTGAGGCCATTGTTTCTAGTTACCCCAAGGGGTGCCCTTGTAAACAGAGTATCTCCTACTCCTTGTTGTCCCTTGAGGATGAATTTGTAGACAGCCACAAGATCACGCCTCAGCCTTCTCTTGCAGAGGCTGAAGAGATCCAGGTCCCTCCATCTTTCCTTGTAGGGCCTTACCTTCGGGCCCCTAACCATCTGAGTAGCCCTCCTCTGGACCCTCTCAAGGTTATCCACATCCTTCTTGAAGTACAGCACTCAACACTGGATGCAGTACTCCAGCTGCAGCTTTATCAATACCGCATAAAGGGGAAGAATCACCTCCTTACACCTGTTTGTGATGCACCTGCTAATGCATGATAGTGTGGTTAGCTTTACTTATCACTTCAACACATTGACGCCTCATGTTCATCTTGGAGTCCACTATGACTTTGAGATCCCTTTCTGCTGCTGTGCTACTTAAAGGGTCACCTCCCAATCTGTATGTGTGTTGGCAATTCTTTCTCCCTAGGTGCAGCACTTTGAACTTATCTTTGTTAAACTGCATCCTGTTCCATTCTGCCCACTTTTCCAACCTCTCCAAATCCACCTGAATTTGTTCCCTGCCCACCTGTGTGTTTACTTTGCCCCATAATTTGGTGTCATCCACAAATTTAGACAGAATGCTCTCCACGTCCTCATCCCAGTCACTGATGAAGATATTGAATAGCACTGGTCAAGGACTGAACCCTGGGGGACCCCACTGCCCACATCTTTCCAGGTTGATACCGACCCATCCACCACCACTCTCTGGGTGCGTCCCATAAGCCAATTTGCCACCTACCTGACCGTGTAATTATCTACAACACAGCCACTTAGTTTATTTATATGAATGGGATGAGACACCGTATCGAAGGCCTTTTTAAAATCCAAGTAAATGACATCTACCTCGACTCTTGCATCTAAGCTTTTTGTTACCTGGTCATAAAAAGAAACAAGGTTAGTTGGGCAGGTTCTACCTGCTATGAATACATGCTGGTAGCCCTTCAGCATTATTTTTCCTGCTGGACTCGCACAATTGTGTTCCTTAACAATTTTTTCAAAGGTTTTCCCAAGGATAGAGGTGAGACTAACCAGCCTGTAGTTACCCATATCCTCCTTCCTCCCTTTCTTGAAAATAAGAAACACATCGGCCCTTTTCCAGACATCTGGGACCTGTCCTGAGTGCCACAAGTGTTCAAACAGTCTTACCAGTGGTTCTGCTATGACACTGGCTAATTCCCTCAGCACCCTAGGATGAAGATCATCTGGGCCTGCTGACTTAAACATATCCAGCCCCTCCAAGTGTCCCTTCATTAGGTTGGGGCTAACTGTTGGTGGGCTGGTGTCCCTCTGGTGCTTGTCTATAAGCCAAGTGGAAGATGTCTTTTCCATGTTCAGGAATATGGACGCAAAAAACTCATTGAAGAGCTCAGCTTTGTCTCTCCTATCTGTCACTAATTGCCGTAGTCTGTTCTGTAGGTGTCCTATGTTGCCGTGCACCTTCTTTTTGCTCCCTATATGCCTGAAGGACTTTTTGTTGTCTTTAATCTTTGATGCCAGCCTGAATTTCATTGCTGCTTTGGCCTTTCTAACTGACTCCCTGCAAGTGTGAGCCAAGTAGGTATACTCCTCCATGGTGGCTACCCCCTTCTCCCACAGTCTATATACCTCTTTTTTGTCCCCAGACTTTCCTGGATTTCCCTGAACAGCCAAGAGGGGTTTTTGGCCTGTCTTGATGTGATAGCTGTGAAAAGTACAAAGGCAGCAAATCAACATTTGATCTAGTCCAGAAGGAAACAGCTCTGCTGAAAGACTTAAATGGAAATGTCATCAGTGATAAAAACAACTTGAATGTTGGATTCAACAGTATGGAATTATACTCCAGTGAGACTGAAATCAAACATGAAGAACTGGAAGAATTACCACAGTTCAACATTATGATGGATTTAGACAATGAGCTTATATTAGAAGATTTGTAGAAAACCATTACATTGATTCCTTGGTCATCTGTTTGCCTACTAAAATCTACAAATGTGCCAACAATGAATTACTTCAAAAGCTTCATGAACTTATACTGCTCTGCTAGAAGAGGTACCACAAGATTTGAAAGATGCTCAGGTTGTATAGTTATACAAAAACAAAGGGGATAGAAGCAACTGGGACAACTGTTGAACATCATCAGAAAAATTATCATTTGCATCATGCTACCTAGGCTGCAATCTCTAGGTGAAAGAATCTATCCTGAAAGTCAATGTGGTTTTCACTTAGGACACTCCACCATTGATATGATATTGTTGGCCAAGCAACTGCAAGAGAAGTATAGCAGAAAAACAAATACCACTGCACATAGCCTTTATATATCTGACTAAAACCTTTGATACAGTCCATAAACAGGGCCTTTTTAGTGTTCTGAAGAAACTGGGTTATCCACGCAAACTGTTGAACTTCACTCATTACATCAAGGTATGAAGGCAATTGTACTATATAAAAACAAAGAATAAACCACCTTTGACATCAACAACAGGGTGAAACAGGGGTGTAAAACAGAAAGCCAGGAGTCTCCTCTCACCTGAGGAGGAGAGAGTAGCAGACTGAGCTAACTACAAGGAAATAGTCAGCCAGGGGAAAGACAGATACTTAAAAACTACTATCAAGAAGAAAAGATTGTAATGGATCGATCACATCAGTAGAGCATGCATGGGAGAAGACCATATCACCAAGGATATTTTGTATAATGAGATTTGAGATGGCTCTAGAAAGTGGGGTTGCCATCTATTGTGGTACCATGATGTGTGCAAAAATTATTTGAATTCATTCAACATCAACATAAAAAGTTGGGAGGAGCATGCAGAGAATCCTGTCCAATCTGGAGGGAACATCTGGCACTGGGTGCAGCTCAACATGAAGCGGCTTTGATCCAGAGGATGGAAGCAAATCAAGAAAGAAGAAAGCAGCATGCTGTAAATTTGGATTCCAGTTTAGACAACATATGGATCTGTGGAACTTGTAACAAGAGTTACAAGTTCCACAGGTTTCTCTCAAATTGGGCTTCTCAGCCACAAATGGATTCATCAGGCATCTGACTATACCTCTTATGTGGATACCATGATCCAGTAGATCAGTGGTTGTCTACTGCTTTTCAAAATGAGAAGTCAAAAGACAAGAGAAGAAATGTATTTGCACAAAACTGTGAATCAAATAATTTCCTCCTATTTTACAAGACCATCAGAAATTGTTTAATTGTATTTCTTCAACTAGAAATTGCATTCTCTCAACTAGAAATCTTTTGTATGTCAACAGAGGAAGAACACGAGGGAAACAAAAGGTCCCAATTCATATTTTCAGGGCACTTAACAAATGTACAGTTCTAAAATATGCAGTGTTTATTTTTTTTCCTGTGCAGTGGGGGAGGGAGGGTTCCCATTGTGTCAAAAACTTAAAACTGGGAAGGGGTTATAACCCATATATTTCCATAACTATGCCCTTGACAGTGTGTAACAACTAATTAAACATACTTTTTTGTGGTGAATAATGTAGTATATATTGGTATGTTAGAAACTTTATCCCTGTTGAATAGGAAATGGGATTTTATAATCCCATAATAATTTGTTATTCTCGTTTATTTCTGTGTATGTTTGCAAATGCAGGACAGTGTGAAGTCTGGGTGAGGACTATAGGTCGATACAGTAAGGGTCATGAAGGAGCTAAGCAGTAGGGATTTTACTGCTTAATTTACCAGCAGCATAGTCCTCTGGAAACCCTTGCAGACAGTGTCTGTTCAGTCTGGTTAGTGTGTCTGTCATGATTTCTGCTTTGCAATGGTTGCCTGAGACTGGTGAAAATGTAAAGCATTCTTTAGTAATTCTTCACTTTCGGGAAGGATTTAATAGTGATCTCTCTCTTGTATTTATATGCATTTTCCAGGATTAATTCCATTTATTTTGTGGATATGTTAAGTTGTTTTTATATGTTTGGACTTTGCTTCTCCAGATCTGTGGTTAATACAGAGTGGGTGTATCTACATGTCATTGCTACATACTCTAACAAGTACTAAATGACTGCACAGTAACTGCCATTACTGTACAACCCCAGTGGCACATGGGTCGTTTCTGACCCTACTGCACAGTAGCAGTCCCATTCTGACTTTCCCTCCTGCCCTCTCTCCACCGCGGATCCCTTAGTTCCCCTCAACCCTTAAGGCTCCTCACCTGGTCCTCTGAGTTCTCCCTTGCCTTCTCCTGTCCTTGGGGCATTACTTGGGGCATTGTGCTATCTGTCCCAGGGGAGAAGATGTGGAAGGGTTAGCCTGCCTGCCTGGTCACCACTGCTTCTAGGCTGCTACTCTTCTGGCCCAGAGAGCAGCAGTCAGGTAGGCAGTTTAACCCTTTCCTACATCCTCCACTGGGAAAGATAGTACAAGCAGCCACAAGTAAGTGGGGGAAGAGGATGGGAGAAGCAGTGAACAGGGATCTGGGATGCTGGGGAGGGGGCAGTGGGCCTGATCCAGGCCAGTAGGGGATGGGGCTGGTTGGGGTCTTTACACTAAGGTGCAGTCTAGAATGGGTATACCTTGGACTAGATTTATGACACACTACAACCTGCCTGACATCTGACTCCCCAAGTAACAGGAACCTCTCCACTTTTACCTGCTACATTGCCATTCCACCCCCCACTCCCCCTCCCAGGTTCTCTCTCACTCATTGATGCCTCAATTTACATTTTCACTGACTGGCTTTTTCACCTGCATTTTATGCCAGTCTCTGACTTCTTTACTATTCCTTCCATCCAGGAAGAACACACACACACAGCAACTGTAGATTCTTCCTCAATGTGACGGAGGGTTTTAAAGCTGAAAGCCCGTGCCTCGCAGATGGATTCCCAGGCAGCTAAGCTCACCTGGAGAATCACAACTCCTCTACAACCAGCAAGCCTCAGGCCTCTCAAAGATCTTAGGGGTCTGGACTTTCCCTGGCTAGGACTGTGCGGGCATGTGGTGGCTGGAGGTTATAAGGTTCCTCCTGCCTGCCTTTCACCAGGGAGGTCCTCAGTCCTGGCATTTCTTGGGGGTTGCCATGCCACTGGCAGTCCCACCAGGCCTGCTACCCTACTGGCAGGGTGCAGTTTTAGTTAATGCCCAGGACCTGGGGCCTCCTGCTTCTCCATAGTTCCAGCCCATCCCTCCAAGTTCATCCTGGTATGAGAGCCCAGCAGGGAGATGTTCTTCCCCTGCTGGCTGGTGATGCAGAGAGTGCCACCTCCAGCTCTGAGAGAGGAACATTAAATGGTTTTAAAAAAATAAAAAAAGGACATAGGTGCAGATGGAGTGAAGAGGGTGGCACTCACTCCATCTGCATGTGGAGCTCAGGGAACCTCAGCAGCAGGAGGTTCACCTTGAGAAACACCAACTGCTCCACCAAACCAGGATCCAAGGAAGTGTGGTGGGCTGTCACAACATCCTCAGCAATGCTGAACACCCTCTAACATGGAACACTGGTTGGTGGACAGGACAGGCATTCCTCTGCCACATCTGGCTGCGGGTTGCCCAATAGGCCAAGCGGTCGCAGTCCAGTGGTTCCATGTCCTCTCCGAGATAGGTAGCCACTGAAGCCTTGGCACTACCTGCCCAAGGGTGCAGTCTGGTGTGTCTTGACTCCACCATTGAAGCCATGCCCTTGGTCCACATTGGCAGCTGCAGTCATGGAGAAGACTGGCTGGTACCGGGAGTGCTGGCACAGGAAAGTGACCCCCCAACCTGTGCCCTTCTGCCTCCTGGACTCTGTTCACCAGACCCTCCATCCAATGATCCAGGGTTTTGCTGCTGCATACGCTCTCCTTCACTCTTGAGTCACACATGGCTGCTAGCACATGGACCATACTGGACCACAACAGATCCAGCCATTTCTTGATGCCCTCCCACAGCTGCTTCAACAGTGCCTGCACCTCTTGTGACAGCGGCTTGGCCCAGCCAGGAACATCGATCCCCTGGAACTTCTCCATTTGGTTCTCAAGCTCTCTCACTATGGGGATCACCCGGATAAGGAGGGCATCACCAGCACTGATGGTCTTGGTGATTTCGAAGAATGCTTGAGGACCACCAAGATTTGGGAGATGGTATCCCACTCTGTTTTGTTAAGCAGGACACTGATTGCAATCTCCCCGAGCAAGGCCATCTCATGGATGACCTTCTATTGCTTCACCAGCCTTTCCAGCATGAGGAAATGTGGAGTATGTGGACTTCCACTGAGTCTCCACATCCTGCATGATTTTGTGCTGCAGGACACTCAGCTCTGCCTGTTTGTTCTGCAGCATCTTGCTCCCCTTGATACTTTGGTGGAAGTAGCTCGCCACCTTCCTGCATTTTGAAATGAGCTGGCAGGTTGTGATGGTGCCATCACCCACAGCCCTGTCTCCTTCCAAGGCGTCCCCAACTATGAGGTGGAACTTGTGTGCCACACAGCAGATGCTGACAAAGTTGACATCACGGACCACCTTCACCATATTGGCCCTGTTGTTGGTGACCATGAATCTGTGGGTGAGTTCACCCTGCCCAACAAGCCATGGATCCTGCACCATGCAGTTCATGGCCACCATGATCTCCGTTGCTGTGTGGTACTCATCATCCATCCCCTTGGCTTGAAGGAGAGCCCACTGATGGCCTGATTGGCACCATTGCCCTGTGAGGGAAAGGTAGGCATGATCTCCACCCCAGCTGTTCCAGATGTCTGAGGTGAAGTGCAAAGCCACCTGTGGACCTGCCTTATGCAGCTCCACCCTCAAGTACTCCCTGCATGCCTTATACATGGAGGGCACCATCATCCTG